GCACTCCAAAGGCAGGAGTCCGGTGACACTCCTGGTCCACTCAGGCCTGACCTCCTGACATACATTTAGCGATGAACTCATCAGTGGGTCATTCCACTAACGAGTATAGTGCATCCATGATCCATTCACCTTCCAGAAACTCCAGGCCTGAACACATGAGCCTTTTAGAGGACACTCTAGATCTAAACTATAACAGAGTCTATCTTAATCTGCCTTTGCTACTAATCTTCACTTCTCAAGAGGAGGAAGTCTAGTAATAGAGCTTTAAGCAATATCTGCAATAAACAATCAGAAGATTATCATTGGGAGCAAAAACAATAGGTTTACAAAGGAAAATGTATTATTAGGATGTTAAGCAATAAAGCGGATAGACTCCTGGAAGTAAGTGAAGTAGAAGCAATGGCAATCTACTGTTCATTCTGGCCTCAGTTAAAATTTATTTTACTTCTGTAATAGAGGAAGTATTTATTCACAAGGACTCTACCTTCCAGTGGCCAGTGTCTTCCACTAGATCCCCTTTCCACCTTTCTCACATTTTTAAGCACTGCTAGAACCTTAATTAGATTTCTTCAAAAGCTGGTGTGATGTTGTAATATGTGATTCTTTTCAGTTCTAGAAGCTATGGAACTGTCAGTTGGTTTCTTATTATTTTTCAGTTCTTTGCTGTCCTTGAAATCTGTGGCCCTGGTGTTAGCATTGACTTCTCAAACTATTGATTTCTTGACTTCCAAGTGCTCTTATGTCTTAGAGACTAGCACTGGCTGTGATTCTTGCTATTTCTCTTAGGGACTTTGCCCATGAGTTTTTTTTTTTCCTATCTGTTCTTTTGAGCCCTGTTATTTTCAGAAGACCCCGGAGATTATACCTAGTGATGACAAAGCTCCTGAATGTTCTTCCTTCTAGAATTTTTGCCACAGTATTTTCACCTACCACTGGGCTAAGTGTCCAAATCACATCTGATCTTCCTTTCTCTTTATTCTTTTCATTGCTCCATTTCCTTCTTTTCTTTTTGCAAGAAACAAAAAATTCCCAACTTAGTATTTGTAATCTAGTGTGACATAAATAAGAAAGAAAAAGTATGTGACAGGATGATAAATGTTACAGTAGAGAAAGACAGAAAGGTTCTATGGAGTTACTGGGGAGTTCCAAACACAGCTAGAGAATATGGGTCTGAAAATACTTCCAAGAGTAGCTGACACATGAACGGCCTCTGATGAGCAATAGAAGAATTGGAGGTATTGGAGGGATGCCTAAATGAATCATTAAAAGATCATCCAGGCTGGAAAGTAGATAGCTCTTAGGCTAAATTAGTTGATCAAATGCCAAGAGCAAGGGTAGAGTAAAAAATGGGAAAAAAGCCAAAGGAGCAGACATAGCAGAAGCTGAGACAAAGTGGATGTGGAAAATAAGTTCAAGAGTGAAAACAATGCAAGGAGTCCCTAGGCCTTCAATGTCATTCTAATGAAAAAGAGAAACATTGAACATTTGACCCTAGACAATGCCAGCATTCTCTGTGAAGACTGAGGATTAGCCAGAGAGTGACACTATCAGGGTTAATTGGATTAGAGGACACAGACACTGACACACACTGACACTTTGTGTACTAATACTGTAATGAACCACAGTAGATGCAGATGAAGCCTCTAGGTGGATAGCTACTACATATATGAACATTCCTGTTCTCTCTTTGGAGGAAATGAAAGTGGGCAATCTAGCAAGAGTATAGAAGAATGGGAATGAGGGTCAGGAGAACTAGGAAGTAGCAGTCATAGATAATCTAAGAATAGCTGGTAAGAGGTACTTGAGGAACTCATCTCGTTATAAGGACCTAGCTGAAGCTAGAGAGACTGTGAGGTTAATGTTTCATATCCCACTGCAGAAAGTATGAATCATTTATGTGCCAAAACATTTTTGGATGTCTTACTAGATTTCTAATCATGGAGACATTCCATTCCAAGAAGTGTATTTGGCATTGGTGAGACATTATGGATCTCTGACTTACTGAGCACTCTCCAAGAATAAGCATTTTTGCCATGAATGAATTTCTGCTTCTTCTGTGATATTATAGTTGGTCAAATGGCTATTCCAGTGAAGCTGAACACAGACCCATGAATAGTAATCTTTGGCACGTAATTGTTGTTAATTTTGGTATCATTCATTGTCTCTCTTCAAAAATGATTGTTTTCTGAGATGAATAGAAAACCTTGGCTAACAGACACGTTCCCAAGAAATATTATTTAATAGTATATTGCCAAGAATATTTTATGTAATTCAATATAACTTTATTCCTTAAGTCTAAAAATACTTCATTTAAATTTTATAATTATGTGTTGAGATCCTGGTGGTTACATAAGATCAATTTGACTGTGACAGAGACCTGTACATTCACATATACATTATTGTCATTTTTGGAAAGTAATAAATTTATATGAAACAGCATAAAAACAAGGAAAAGATAGAATTTAGTGTTAACTTAATAAACTAATATTTTTATTAAGTTAGATTATCATCAGTAATCTTTCTATGGGACTTAAAATTATCATGAGATAATTTTTATTTTCTCAGTCAGTGTAAATCTGGACTCTCATGTTTTCTGTGCTTCTAAGAACATTTCACTATAAAAGCCTTATTCTAGCACTGAAGTCAGTATATAATATTGGATACATCTTATGTGCCAGCACACTTACATGTATTGGAGTTACACATATGAGCACAATAGTCCCTGTACTTAAGGAATCTACTACTGTGTGTGTGTGTGTGTGTGTGTGTGTGTGTATTATGTATGCATGTTTGTAGATGTAGTGGATTGATTAACGGTCAACTTGTAATGTTCCGCTAAACTGAGTCAGTGTGGTCTGGGCGTGGAGGATCCACCTGAAGATTGTTACCAATAGCTCTACAAAGAGAACTGGAGGGGAGGATCTCAGCCTGTTGATTTTCTAGGAGAAGCTTGCGGTGGATGGTTTTCCTGATGCAAACTAGGCTGTTCTCGTTGGAAAAGGAGCTTGGGACCTTGCTGTCACTGGGAATGGCTGCTGCTTTCAACAGGGGAGCTCTAATGTTTACTGTGAGCATCACTTCCCGGCTCCAGTGTGGATCCCTCAGCTTGGTGGCACAAATCCTTCATCTCATGAGCATAGATTTTTCTGGCTTCCACCATTGCTCTTTGGGCCTTCCAGGTGCAGATCCTCAATACGGACAAGCATGAGACATTGCCATGGCCTCTGGGCCACTGGCTGGTCTCATAGAGAACATTGCCTTGGACTCTAAGCCTTTAGCTGGTGGAACCACTGAGCTAAATCTCCAGCCCTCTAAGCCTTTAGCTGGACTTGTGTGGGAAACTGCTGTGATCTAGGCCCTCAGTTGAATGTTTTGAGCTTCTAGTGTGTGGTTAATCTCTTGCATTCCTTGCATTTGACTCTTTGGGTGATTTAAAAAAACACACTCCTTTTAAGTTATATGTTCTGTATTTAATGTTTTCCCTTGCCCAGTCCTGCTGATTACAACAGTATGTGTTTGTACAGTAGGAAAGAGACAGATAATAAATATATGAACAAGTAAAGAAAGCTATTTCAGATATTTATATAAAGATAAAGATGGAAAGAAAAGGTAAAGATGTTGGGGTGGTGGTGCTTTGCTCTAACCAGAGAAATCCTATCTGAGGGATTAACATAGTTGAGAAGTCAAGTAAGAAATAAGTTGAGAGCTGAACTTTATCTGCTTTCAGAGGTGAATCATTCTCTTTGGTAAGAGTTGTTTGTGGACAATTGAGAGAGTAAAACCCTATGATAGATTGAAGGAGAGAATACGAAATATAGAGACAAAAACAATAAGAATATGCAAGTCTTTATAGGGCGAGAAGAGAGGTAGGTGTTCTGTGTTCAGTGGGCTATAAGGGAGGGATACGTCCTGGGAAGGGAAGAGGAGACGAAGGCAGAACGTGGAGTGTGCCTCTGCATGTTCTCGAAAATTGCCATACCATACTGAAAATTTCTGTTCAAATAATTCTTGGATTATACTTTATATAGTGGGGTGGAGATTTGATTTCTGAAACTCAGACATTATTGATAACATTGTAGTTGTCTTTTATGAGATTAATCCTGTTGTTGTGACTTGATTATTTTGTAGAAAGCATCTAACTGCTTTATAATCCTTAGGTAGGTGGTAAGACATTTTAAAAACAAGAGAATGCTAAGTTAGTGATAAACTGCCTAAATGAAAAACGTTTTTTATCTCAGAATTGTATCACTATTTATGCTAAATGTTGGAATATTTGTGGCATATTAGGCAATTTAGTCATCTCTAGTACACAGTCTTGTCTTTACACTGTGAAAATGCAGTACATGGAAGATGTGCTGGAAATGCCTGTTTATGTATGCTTCATGTTCGTTTAAAAGTACTTTTTGTATGTTATTTAATAACGGACTGTAAATGAAGCCATATGTGATGGCACATGCCTATAATCCCAGCCCTCTGGAAGGCTGAGGCAGGAGAAAGCAAGTTTGAGCTGACCTAGAGCAGTATAAAAACTTAGCAAGACCTTGTGTCAAAATAAATATTTTTAAAAAGGCTGGGAAATGTAGTTTAGTGCAAAGGGCTTGCTTGGTTCAGGCCGCAGTACCCAGCAAGACACATATAAAAAGTATATATGTCATGCCTGCCTCGAAAGCACAGGGTCCTGAGTTCGATCCCCGGTACCAAAGGGGAAAAAAAGTATATGTAAATGTCAGTGGAATTGATAATGATCTTTAAATTCAATGAAAAATGGTTAATTTTTAAATTACAAATATTTTAAATATAAGAATAAACTTGTATGGTAGATGTTAATATATTATTTAAAGTAATTTCTCCTTATAAAAGTCATAGTCTTTATTTAAGGTAATAATTTTCACTAGTTTAACAAAAATGGAGATATATTAATACATTTAAAAAAATTAAATGGTGATGACTGTTGAACAAGGCTGAAGTAAATTAAATTCCTTTGTTTATTTTCCTACCAGAGGTCTTTTTATTAGTATCCATGATCGAGGGCATATTGCTTCAGTTCTAAATGCATGGCCAGAAAATGTTGTTAAGGTAAGTCATCAGATTTTTTGTATTGAGGCAATTTATTTTCTTCTCTGTCTCATAAAGCAGTTGATATCGTATTGACAGTTCTCATAATAACATAGGATTCACTAGCTTTGCCAGTGGATATCACCTAGTTATATTCCTTTCGTGTTTGTATAGTGGATTCATTTTTTTTTTGGTACCGGGGATTGAACTCCAGTCCTTGTGCTTGAGAAGCAGGCAGCAGAACCACTGAGCTAAATCCCCAGCCTTATAATGGATTAATTTTATTCTGAAGCAGTTTAGATACTAATTTTTCCCATTATTTCTTCTTAGTTCCTTAGTATTTCTTTATGCATTAAAAGTTATTAAATGTATGATGACATGCAGTACCATCTGAATTTCTTTACACCAAACCTTTTAATCATATTTGCTGTGTTTATGCATCCACTAAGAGGAATCCAAGTAGGCAAAAGCAGTCTGTTAATTCTTTTTTTATCATTATGACATAAGTAGCTCATTTGACTTCCCTCTGTGAGTTAATGAAAATTAAAATAATAATAATACCAGGCATTTGGTAGCTTTCTGTGGGAAACACTTCAGTGGATTACTTATTTTGTAATTATTATAGTACAGTGATGAAAGGAAGATGCAGATGAGTCCCACAGTGATGCATGATTGTATGAAACTAAATGGAGGTTCCAGAGCTGGCACCAGATCCTTTGCTTGTAAACACCATGCTCTGCAATTTTCCTTGTCTAACGGAGATGAGATGTACCTCTCCTTGCTGTCATGTTCTCTTTTCCCCACTTTTCCTTTCTGCTGGATACCCAGCAACTTTAGGACTAAGATAAAATAAATCAGTATCTTTTAATGGAATAGAGTCATTTTATCTCTGACTTCTGAAGTATGACTCATTTTAGTGTGTTGTCTGATTGAGTAGTTTGTGGCCAGAATTGCTTAATTTGGCTCACCAGGCCTCATGCTATGTAAACTGAAGCATTTTTCACTATTCCCAAATTTGTGCAGTTTTTTCATTCTTCTCACCTAAATTGCTTTCTCAAATTTTCTCCCACCAACTATCCACAGATCCTATTCTCAGGAAATACGCTAAGAAATGTGTTAATTGTATAAAGCATAAATTTGTGATCATCTAAGAAGGATATCTATATTTTAACCAGGAATCTAGAGAGGATTTTAAGAGTGAACAAGTCAGTAGGTGAAATAGTACCCTGTTATCCTAACTTTTGTGTACTAAGCTGTCACTCAGCTTGGTCTTCCAACTAGCAAATCTCTATATATTTAACTTTATTAATAGCCCACCTTTATCTTTGGATTCCTAATATTGGGGCATCACTGATGTTCTTAATTATGACCATTTTTTTTAAAGCCAAGCACAGTGTCTGGCACATAGTAGGCACTTAGTGGTAGCTCTTGATTGTAATAGAAAACTGAAGTCTAAAATATTTATTTTATAGCTGAAACCATGTTAGAACATGCATGTTGCATTGTAAGTGCCACATTTCATTCATCCCAAGAAGGCTGGAATAGTTAAGAAAACTTTTTTAACAAAGTTGGAATTTACATCCAAACTAAAATCCAAATAAAGGAGGGAAGACAATATTATAATAAGAAAGGAACATATGAATGTAGGTATCTAGTACAGAGAGAGAAAGGTATGTTCTTTCTTTGACACTAAGGACATTGGCTAGCCTACAAAGCTGAATGTTATTGTTAGAATGTAGTAGAATTTAGCTTGCTTAAGTAGGAGGTAATCAAATTATTATAAAAGGGCTTGAAATTCAGAAAGAGGAATGTAGACTTGAATAAGTAGAATGTCAAATTTAAACAGGAAATGACCTCATATAAGTACTATTTGAGGGAGGTTCATCTGAAGATTTTTTATCTCAAAATTGTATCACTATTTATGCTAAATGTTGAAATATTTGTGAATTAACAATGCATGTATGTTTGTAATAAGGCATAAACTAAGCTAAAGTAGTAAATGCCTCAAAACATATTTTAAAAAGTTCTCAAACTATCACCTATGTAAATGTCCATATACACATATATATCTCTAGAGTGGAGTAATAAATAGCATTAGATGAGAGAAGAGCTTAAGGAATAGAAAGTATGAAAAGGAGCCTTTTTAAACATTAAGATCAAGACACATTTAACATAGATACGCTATTAAAAATGAATGAAAATATATGATTTTTAAAAAATCCTTTTTTGAAAATTTTGAAACTAAGAAGTGGTTCTCTGAGTTTAAATGTATTCATTTATTAATGATACATAAAACTACATTACATTTATATTTTTGTAACAAATAAGATGTTAAATACACATTTGAAATATTTGGACATTGAAAAGTTGTTTGTAATTTTAAAAACAAGGTTATAATTTCCTATAATATTTATCATCTTTTTTAAAGCCTTATTCAGAGCCGAGTTGATCCAGTAAAAAATTGTTTTCTCCAATAAAGCATAGCATATTGACCATTGCAATAATACAGGGAAGAGTTTTTGCAAAGATGAACTATATGGAATATAAAAAATAATTTTCATCCACATCTCGTGTATTTATTTTTAAAGCAATTTTACAAAAGCTGTATAATATCAATGAATAAGAAATTAAAGGAAGATACCTCTAAAGTGTATTTTAAAGTATACTCTGCAATGTAGTATGTAAGAAAGAGCATTGTATCAGGAGTTAACATACCCAGATTCTGGTTCTTTGATGTTAATCAAGTAGATAAATTATTTCTGTTCCCTGATCTTCAATTTCCTAATCTGTAAAATAGTTAAAGGAATATTTTAGGTCTCCCCTTATTTCAAACTGTTGTGACTTTATACATGAGTTCTAATGATAATAATGGTGGTAATGGGTATAATTTTTTAAGAATTTGTAATGTGTACGGTACTATGGTAAGCTGTTCATATAGCATGATTCTTTTTATGGCATAGATTTATCAACTAATATTTATCGATTGTTTACTGTGTGCCAAATACTGTACTATGTGCTGGTATACAGTGTTGAACAAAACAGAGCTAATTCCTAATTTTGTGCAGCTACTCTGTAAAGTACATTTGTGATTCCCATTTTAAATTAAAACACAAAAACAGAAACAACAACAGAAGGTTAAATTCACAGCTTTATTCAAGGCCAAATAACTGATATTTTTCCAAGATTCCATGCATATGATGACTGAAGCACTTTGTAGAAAGTCTAATACATTGTTGTCAAATTTTGCTTAAACTCGTATAATGACCACAGATCACAGAATGATGTTGTTAGATGTATTTTAATAATGATATTAAATTATAGATATATAGATTATATAGATAAATCTTCACGTGCTTTAAATGTGTGCTTCAGAAATATTCAAGGTAATTAGAAGCAAAACAAAATTCATTGAATCCAAGGAAGATCATCAGATAATAGATGTAGCTGACTGTAATAGGTATGTTTCAAAGATCATAGAATAGCATCAAGTGTTTATAGTATTTAAAGAGGATAGGTCAGTATGATTGTAAAAATAGGAAGATGGTGACAGTTTTGCATAAACTAACGATCAGAGCTGAGGTAAACCTTCTCAGTCTATCCAGGAGTCATATATTTAACTGTGAGCATTCCTGTAATTGCAGTCAAAATGGATGTGACTAGCTTTGAAGCCTCCTTAAGTTTCCTTTTGACTCCTTGTTTGAGCTCTTATTTCCCTGTGCTTTTTCTATTTGCCTTTCTTGAGTGAAGGCTAAATTTTGTGGTATGTTTGAGTCTATATGCGCACCTAATTAAGCATTAAACACAAATGTTTAAAATGTATGTCACTCAAGTTTATTTCTCATTCTTCTACATGGTTGTTATAAAATCTTTCTCAAGTTTGTTTTCTAACAGCTGATACTTTATTCCATGAGTCTTTACACATGGAGAATAGAAATGGTGCCCTAGAATTTGCAAGAATCTGTTAATATATTGCTTTTCTTTTTTTCTAGGCTATTGTGGTAACTGATGGAGAGCGTATTCTTGGCTTGGGAGACCTTGGTTGTAATGGAATGGGCATCCCTGTGGGTAAATTGGCATTATATACAGCATGTGGAGGGGTGAATCCTCAGCACTGTCTGCCTGTGACTCTGGATGTGGGTACAGAAAATGAGGTAAGTGTACCTTTAAAAGTGACACTATTTTTTGCATTATTTTGTGAATTATTTCAGAAACTTTACAAAATTTATACTTTTTTGTCTGGTTCTCCCTCAGTCCTTCAAGATGTCCTCAAATTTCTTTTTTTCAATTGAAAAACTTTTTAAAAATTAATTTTATTGGTACCTTTAATGACATTCATCATTGGGAATTTGCACCTTTACTAATCTATCTTGGTTCTTATTTTTTTCCCCATCCTCCGCCATCCCTTCAACCCCTCCATCCCTCCCTATCTACAAAGACTTTGTTTCCATTTTTCATTTTCTCATATTAGTTCTATTCCTTTCTTTCCTTTCCCTTATCCCTCCTATATCCCCTTCCCCTTTGCCCCTTTTCTTCCTGTTTCATATTTTCTATTATACCATTTAGCCCTTATTTATACTTTCAGTTTGTCACACTAAAGAAACTATTTGGTATTTACACGTATCCTGTTTGTTTCACTTAAGAGTATCACTTCACTTTCTAAGGGAAAGTTACTTTTTCCATTTCTCCTTTTCCCTTCTCTGTTAAATGATTCTTTTTTTATTAGCTTCTTTAGTCTTTTATAATGCTTTGAAAAGCATTTACACTATTATTCTACAGAGTGTATGTTTTACTTTAAGATAGCATAATTTCCTTTTTTATTTATTTTATTGTTTTCATATAATGTAGATATTAATACTTGGGACTTAATAATGATTAAATGTTCTTGTTCTGAAAGTCTCTATTGAGCCTAAAATAGATGGTTTGAAAGTTAGTTTTTCTTAAACAGTTATATTCTTTATCTTATACATATGTTTATAATTTTGAACTTTTTATGTAAATGCTCATTAAATATTTATCAAATAATATATTTTGATAAAAACAGTTACTTCTCTGGTATTTCCTTTTTCCATACCCATAGATGTGGCCTTAAAATGATCAAAACTGACCTCTTTAAACAGTTGTACTATGGGCTGGGATTTAGCTGAGTGGTTCCGCCTCCTGCCTTGCAAGCACAAAGACCAGAGTTCGATCCCCAGTACCAAAAAAAAAAAAACAACAACAACAACAACAAAAAAAACTAAACAATTGTACTATAATTATAAATGTACCTTGAACACTAGGATTTCTACTTTTGGGGCTGGGGATCTTGCCCAACATGTTGAATATCATATAACATTAGCAGAATACAATATTGTTGCCACTCTGAATGAGCTACCTTTTTAAAAAAAAAACTGGTGTTTATGAATACATAGGAAAGCTGTTTATTTTTGCAGGTTTTTTAACTGTTACTTTACTCAGTGCTCTTTTTGGTTATAGTGTATTTAGTTGATTTTCTTAGAATTCATTAATAGATGTCTTCTCCCTCAATTATATCCTTTTTGTTAGTCTTATTGCATAGTTAACACTTCCTGAAAAATGAAAAAGAGAATGGCAGTGATAAAAAAAGACTGTCTCTAGTATAGCAACATTATTTATGATACAGTCCAGCGAAGGCAAACCCTTTAGAGTCTGAGTGCCAAAACTGCAACCAAGAACCCACTTATTTATTGCAAAGTCCTAACACTGCAATTAAACCTTAATACAGAGGTTTTAATTTAGAAAAAAATAGCATGGTGACTTGTCTTGCGCACCAACAGAGAAGGCTCTGTATGCCACTGTGGCACATGTGCCATAAGTTTGCCATCACAGATATAATCAGTGGTTTGAGAAGTTTGGGGCATTAAAAATATTCTGCAAGATTCAATTTCCTGATGTCTAAAGGAATTTTTGTTTCTGTGTCTTTATTTAGGTAAGCTAACATTTGTTAAGTGCTTATAAAATTCCAGTCACAATCTGAGCGTTCAAAAATATTAAATAACGATGATAATGTGATGTAGATTTACACGAGGAAACTGAAGTACAGAAAGGGCAAGTAACCAAGATAACAGAGCTAGTAAGCGATGAAGATGAGTAAACATGAGACTTATTAGCAATTTCTTATTATTTACTAATTTTACTAGCTTTGGATACCAAAGTTAGAATTTTTCAGAAAATGAAATGTTAAATTGTCAATTTTAACACTTTTGAGAATAGTTTATATAGTATAAGAACTGCAGTCTGAATGATGACAACCATAGTTTTAGAAACTTAAAACTTAATTCTACTTAATTAAAATTCAAATTTACACCTATGTTCCTTTTTATTTTGTTGTTTGATCATATTACTGGTATAATATATACATTTGCATTGTTTGAATGAACTCTAGTGACTGAAGAACTCTTAGTAGTGACATTTCATTTGGACCTCACATCTGTGTTCTCTCAGCTTAAGCAGGGTTTACATTTCTCTTAATTTTCTTAATTTAGTGATTATGAACTTTTATTCTTTTTAATTTTTTAGTCAAAACATTCCTATAGTAATATTTTAATCTCATTGCTTTTGTGAGTCTCTTTAATTTTGCTCTTCATAATAAAACTGATGGGTAACACCACTTAGTTTTTTTTCTTTTGCAATACTGAGGATTCAAGCCACAGCCCACTCACTGAGCTATAATTTCTCCTCCTTTTTCTGGTTACAATAAGCATTCTTTAATTTTTTTTAGTACGAGTTTGCAGTGCATAATTATTACACTCATTGTAGGGTATTGGTTTAATATGAATGTCCTTTGACATGAAAACTTTCACCACATGCTCCTATGTGAAAAGGGAGTATGGCATATTCTGTGGAGTTACTACAAATTCGAAAAAAATGTACATGTATAAATGCAAAGAAAACGATCTACAAGAATGTGCATGCTGGTATTTGCTTTTAATTTTACTGTTTAGTATTCTTGAACATTTCTGGAAGGCAAATTTGGTTTTTTATCTTATGAATGATATAATTTAAAAATTAATTTTTTTTAATTCTCAGAAACTTCAAACTGAAAGTGTAGCAATGTAAGAGACAAGAACAGAGAGAGAGTTGATGATGGTTACTCTTAGCTTCAAATAAATGCTGCAAATAAAAATTCCCAAGGTTCCGAAGTTGATGCAGTGTTAATAAGTAATATAATTAGTGTATTTATCAATATATGCCCTTATCTGCTGTTTGGAGCTCTTCTACAGTGGACCCTTGACTCATGAGCTTGATTGGTTCAAGAGGGCTGATTGTAACTCAAGTTGGTTGTAAGTCAATACAGCTGAGATCTGCATGTTTACCTGGGTATACACTATAGATAACTAGAGACAGATGAATCTTTCACTAACTTAATTAACCCAGGTTGTGTTTCAGGTTGGTTGTAACTTGAGGATCCACTGTATTTTGCTTTTTTACTTTTTTCTATTAATACTTTTCTATCTCATGCTTGTTCATAAGTCTTTAATGGCAACTTTTTTTGTGATATTAGGGATCGAATTTAGGACCTTGAGCTTGCCAGGCAGGCATGGTGCCTCTGAGCTACATCCCTGGCCCCACAATTTAACCTTTTCTAAGTTCTAGCTTAATGCTGTCTTTAATTTATTCTTCGTCAAAGATTTGTTGAGTATTGCCTTCTAATTTCAAGATGTTCTTAATCCAGTGAGTTAGTATCACTGCTTTTTATGCCAGGGTACTTAGTCCATGGAGCCGTTATAAATAATTGAATATTGTTTTTGTATATTTAATTTTTTGCCAGCCAAATTTCCAAGAATGTACTCATTTTCAAGTCTTGCCTTCAATTTTCTTCGTTAAAACTATGATATTTTTAAAAATTGCTTTTTGACAGGGACATTATTGTTATTAGAAGAGTTTTAAAACTTTGTGATTTAATGTAAAAGCCCTGTCTTTTCCGTAAATGTTGTTAAGTGAATATATTGTAAATAGACATCTTTATGGTATATGTTTATGAATGTGGGAAAGAATGGGAGAAAAGAGAAGAGGAAACTTGTAACTTTTTTTTCTCAACTGTGTTGTTTTTCTAATTCACATTTTAGAAGTCTAAATATATTCCAGACGTGAAAAAATTATTTTAATTTTGGCAACCTTTAGTAGCACATTGGGCACTTCAACCTTGGCTGCTCAGACCCTGTTTAAAGTTTTCATATCTGAAGAAACAGCTCGGCTTCACCACAGCACTTGGCTTCAGATTTTATACTTCATCTGAAATATATTTTTGTTTAATATATTTTTATTTAATATGTTAACTTTTAGCTAGATGGATAGCTTTAACTCATTGTTATGTAGTACATTACAAGGAGGATGTACTGATGAGATCAAGACAATTTCGCAGGGAGAGTGCTTTTAATAATTATACTATGACAACAGGTGTGAATTTAAGTAAAGCCTGCTTCAGGTGATTCACATAGTTTAACCTTAACATTAGCACATCTGTAAAAACATAGCATTTATTATGATAAACCACCTTTGACTCAGTGGCTTTCAAGGATGATTGTTCTGTTAATGTTTATGATGTTGGTAGTTTGGACCTGGAGGGACAGGAAATCTGGGATGTCCAGGACAGCGTTGCCTTCTTCCTTGTTGATTTTCATTTTTTACAAATTGTTCATATTTCACATATAATATATTATTCATCTTTGTCCTAGGATTCTAAGTTTCATTCCAGTAATAGCAATAGCTCCAAAAGTCAGGGTCCTGTCATCTAAATCAGATCTATATGCAAATGAGAATTCTTGTGCTTTGCTTCTTCATGTAGTTTCTCTACGTACACCCGCACACCAGACATAGAGTGGTGTGTTAGGGACAGAATAATTACTATCAACATGCCCAGTTAAAACAGGAGGAATAGAACTCATGTCTTGAATGAGCCATAGCCATTCTGAATTCTCACTAAATGTGTTTTCAGGTCACCTTCTTGGGAGGTAGGGAATATTCTTTGAGTTGGCCTAAGTTCTGTTTCTGCAAGAGCAGATCTATAGTTCATTTTTCTCAGGCTTTTGACTCTGCCCTCTGAGATAGCCTTTTCTTTTAATAAGAAGTGGTCTGTTTGACAGCTGAATAACTTTCTCAGCCTGCTTCCTGACTATGGAAAGTTGACAACCCAGAGAAGTATTTTTAAAGTGTCTCTGTCCTAATTAACTCAAGGTAGCACAACACCCTGAAGAACTTCTTAGACTTTCCACATATCTCCTTGTAGTCTACTCCATTAGACAGAGGCCCTATTTACAGTTGTTTACGAAACAGACAAAGGTGATCTATTAAGCTCCATTTTGAAACATTCAAGTGTTTTCAAAACACAGTGTTCTGTAATTTCTAATTTGCAAGTCATACATATAATTTTGTTAAATATGCTGTTAGGAATTCCATGTTTTGGAATATTATCATAAATAGAACTACGTATTGTATTTCAACTGTCCTTTGCAAGTATAAAAATATATTTGATTTGCTGATCTTGGTCTTACATCCTGTAATTATGTTAAAGTCACATTTTATACTGGGTTGTATTGTTATATATTAGTATTTTCTCTGTACATAATCACATGTATATTAAAAAAAAAACAGCTTTAATTCTTCCCTTTCCAACCTGCATTCCTATTTTCTGGCTTTATTGGAATGGTTAGCATCTTTAGTATAGTGTTGAAAAGTGCTGAGGACAGATATTTTTGCATTGTCTCTATCTGAAGGGAATACCATTCAGCTTATCATTGTTGATATGCTGTTAGCTGTGGATTTTTTACAGATGTCATTCCCTGGATTGATGTTTCTTTTTGTTCCTAGTTTGCTGAGAGTTTTTGCTATAAATTGGTGCATTTTACTGAAGATAAAATATAACCCAATTTAAAACTGATTTATTAATTAATATTAAATATTGTATATACTAAAAGTTGAATAGTGCAATGTCACCCTGACAAAATCAGTTTAAAAAACAATTTAAACTGTGTAAATTTTAAAATGTTTGAGAAAAACTCAAACCTAAAAATTTTCTTTTTAAAATCATCCTGCTTCATATTTAAAGGCATAGTTAGCATGTTGTTCAAAGATTTTGCTTTTGGAAATTTAAAAAAGATATTTAAGAAAAATAGCTCTTTCCATTTATTAAGCTAATGGAAGCTACTTCATAACTCAGTAATTTTTCTTTCTGTGATAAATTTTGCCTGTAAAATCTACTTCTCTAATTAGCACCATTGCAAGATCTTAATTCCTTTTCTTTTCCTCAGAAAATCCAGAAGGTTTTGGCATTTAGTAATTGTTTTTTATTTGGCATATAAATATCATAGAGGTATTCCTTTTAACAGTAACAATAAATTTGTAGGTTAATTCTGAATCAGTGTGGCAAGACTTTATTTCTATTTCTGTAGATTCAGGAAAATCGCTCATAGTTAGTCTATTTCTCATGGAAACTTTTTTTTTAATGATAGGAGTTACTTAATGACCCATTATACATTGGACTACGGCAGAGAAGGGTGAGAGGTCCAGAATATGATGACTTTTTGGATGAATTCATGGAGGCAGTTTCTTCCAAGTAGGTATATTTTTATTTCATGTACATTTGAGTTAGATTTCAAACATCTAAAGGCAAACTAATGTAACTTTTTAAAAATCCAACATTGATTCAGTGTGGTTTAATAATTAGAAGTGATTTCAGTGAAAAAACTGCGTGTCCTCCTATCTCTGTTTACCTACTCTTAACTGGGACTGGCCTGATGATACACATGTCTTTCCCAAACATGGCATCTCTGTCGCTGTCCCCAAAATATTTTTTTCTTATAAGAATCTTTAAACCCTGTTGCTATTGAAATGCATGATTATGTATAGAAAAGGAGGCTGTGACCAGGGAAAATAAATGTAAACAAGAAAAAGCTTCCTTTTGGCAATCTGTACTTGTTTTTTGAGCAATGACAAAAATCTCATCTTCAGTCATACTGGTAGCTGGTATTTTGACACTTGTGGTAGAAGAAGCAGAGGAAGCGGTGATAAGAAGGTAATGGTACAATCTAATGGTCTGTAACAATAAAGAACCAGGGTATCCAGTCATAACCTGTGAATCTATAATTAAATCTACAGTATTTGAATAAAATGCAGTATTATATTTTCATGTAATCTAATTAGTATTTGAGTATGGTTCAAGTGCTACTGTAAAACTTGCCATACTTTTCCTTTCAAAAATGAATCCCACCTTAATTTTAGTAATATATTCTGAGAAAATTTTGTCGCACTAATTGATAATCATTCATTTTGTTAATGTATTAAATATAGAAGCTAAGTACTTTAAAAAATATTTATGTTGGCCTTGGTTTTTCTTAATTACCTTATCACCAAAATCAGATATAACTACTGATTTTGTTTTACAATATTTGCAATTTTTAAGAAGTTGTATCTTACAGCAGGAAGTGCTTTTATCAGTTTGCCCACTGCTTATAATATACTGTATTATATTAATTATAATCAATTGTATATTAATTGTATATTAATTCTACAATATACTGTATTATATTAATCATACTGTATATACCCAGTATTTTAGTGCAGATTATATTTGTCAGTATGGGTACTTTTAAAAATCACATGCTTCATTTATTTATTTATTGTTGTTATTATGTCCATTGATTAAGCTATATTCACAGAAATGTTTGAGAAACTACAGCTTAAGTTCAAAATTGCAGGATACAGTTAATTTCTAATAGTTTTTATATTTAATTCTAAATATCTTACCCAGTAAATTCATGTATAAGGTGATGATTTCCTGTAATCTTCTAAATAGAAACATTAATCAAGAGATTGTATAGAGAATGCTGTGAAGCTATAGGAAAGAAAAAGAAATACAATTCAGAATGTACATTGTTTTCTATATGTGGAAATAAAAATCTGTCTAAATAAGACAACTTTAGCCTATTTCAACAGGTTAGTTATAAGCATTTAAGAAATGATGAACTAGAGAAGAAATTATTAAAGCTTTTTGGAAAAATGAGATGAACTAATTTTGTATAGTCTGTCCGAAATCAAAAAACTTTTTTAAAATATTGAGGAATTACTTAAAGACCTTGCATAAGAAAATGGGGCTTGTAACTTTAAATGTAGAAACTTTAAGTGTAAAATGCACATGTAAATGAGAAATTTCTCATGGCTTTTCCAAGAGAAAACTGTCAAAGACTTTTTAAAAATGCCTATTGTGTTATTATTGCTTTGGAAACATTGTCTAGCTGTGAAACCTACCATTACCCAATTAAATGAAAAAGTAGTCCTGAAGAGAAGTCTACAGTTATTTTAAATGGAAACATGACTTTAATTCAGGGTGGAAGTAACTGCTTCAGGTTGAGAAACTGGGGAAACACACTGCAATGAACTTTGTAAGAGGTGCCTTTGGAACCAACCCTTTTGAAAGTGAGGAGGCAGAAATAGTGGATAGAAGTTTTGCTGCTACATGGACCCACAATTAACCTTGAATATCAGGAGTTGTTGTCACCATCGCCCACGCTATTTAGATTTTTAAGGAAACTCTTCATTTCTGGTGGTAAGTGTTCTGTTGTGATAGGGTTGGGGTAGAGTAGCTTCAAGTTCTTTCTGTTGGGTTTCTCTGCAGTGATAGCTCTTATCTTTTAGCCAAGAACTCGATATGGATGTTGTGGCATATTTACCAAGTATTAAATAAGAATATGATTTCATTTGAGGTCTGAGAAATTACCACTAGATGGGTCTATGGTCCTGCTGGACCCATTATGAGCTAAACTGTGGCTGGAGCTCCTTTATTACTGGCCCCCTTCGTGTTTATTCTAATTAGGGGAGAAGAGGTGAAGGGCTGTTTTGTTTCACATCTCTGGGTATTACTGTCAACTTTATGCGAAATAGTTCTCAACAGGTATGTTTTTTCCCTGGCCAGTTATCTGAGTCTCTTTGGAGGACTGGGGAAAGTATTACTCTCTATTTGCCATAATGTTGCAAGGTCCTTTCTTCTGGAAACTAGGTCTCTTTTTCAGTCTTTGAGTTTAAGGTTAAAAAAAAAAAATTAGGTGAGGTTTGGAAGTTGAGCAAGAGATTGTGACTTTACAGGGACAACTATGCTCATCTTTGTGGACATTTATCTTTGATTTCTTTTGATGGTACCTATTGAGTAGTAGTATGTTAGTTGTCTATTTTACCTGTCGGGATGCAGGCAGTATTCTATTAACTCTTAATAAGTCTATGTGGAATCTCAATCTATCTCTGCCTGTCTCTCTTTTCTCCCTCTCCCCTACTCGCTGTCTCCCTCCTTCTCTTCCTCTCTCTTTGTGACTGGTATAGTAATTAACCCACCCATCTAGTGTTTAAGCTTCTTCACCTGGTCCAGCCATCCTCCTTGCCATTAGTAAGCTGAGTTATACATCAGCCTTTTCTTCTGTCCATTCTAGCTGTAATGTCAGAGTCTTCTCACTAGCATATGTTTATAGTTTTGGTAAATGGTGTGTTTTCTGGTCCTTACGGAACATAAGCTCTGATGACTTTTCTGGCCTTACATAGTATTTGTGTTTCAGAATGCCCACTCTTCTGAGTTTTATGATCGCCTCTTCTGGTATACCTTCTGGTAGATCAGACTTACAGTATTTAGTATGAGCTTTAGTTTGTTCATGTTTCTGGGACCTATCTTAGTAGTGAGTTTGCACTGTGTCCTGTGTTCCTTGCCAGTTGTTAAATTCTATGTCTCAAATGAGTACCTGAAGATCAATAAACTATCCCTTATGTAATCTTACATTCCAGCCCCTTTGATCAGAACACCATCAGAATTTACTCACATTAATATAAGCTATTTAGATCTTGCAGTTCCTTTGAGAAATAGTCACTTTTTCCCTACCCCTTGAATGTCCTGGATGACTTACATTGCTATTTGAGTCTAGGGATGTGTAGGGGAGGCAGGAGTAGATGGGGAGTAGAAAGCCACATGTTTTGTGGGGGATAAGCCTCTGTTTTCATCTACTGCAAGAAAGGAGGGGAAGGTTACTTTTATGGAGTGGAAAGGTTCTAGAGAATGTGGAGATTCAAGATTTTTGGAGACATCAAATCAGACCACCCCTTGTAGTGGAGTTTCATTCTTTCTATCCAGGATTCTTACTCCAAAGATAAGTTTTACTGAAGAGTTTTAGAGCTTAACTACTCTAAGAGTACAGTTTTAGAGTTTAACTTTAGAGTTTGACTATTCTAATCTTTAAGCCAAGTTCCTTGTCATCATATTCCTCTGTCCAGGAGCTAAGGATCTGAATATATCTTTGTATCTATGAGAAAGGCCTTCTGGCTTTCATAGTGGCAGTTGCTTGATAGCAACTTTGGGCTTTTCCCATTGTTCTTACAGTTATTATTTCTCCAAACATCTGAAGTATCATTCCCCTTAACATGTTTTTGGTATACTATCTCACTTACCTCCTGAGAGAACTTTAATAGCTGGACTGTCACCTTGTGCCAGGGATTGATTCTCTGTGCTCCATTTACAACCAGTAATGGGGGTTCTCACTGCCAGCCTGACTGAGTGATCAAGATTCAAAGCCCTATTTAATCACCTGCTTTCCCTGAATACTCTGGGTTCTAACTGTCACAGATGAGGTTACCTGGGAGGCATGGTCTGAAATGAAGGTTAGTGTTCAAGAGGCTTATAACAAATGTCCTTGAGAAGATTAGGGAAGCAGGAACAGGCAGACAGAAGTTGAGCTACAATGTGGGCACAGTAACAGCTTCCACTGAATCAGTTTGGGAATTCCAGAGCTAAACTGGCTCTTCAGGGTTGTCACCAGGTGATTGGGATGGCCAGACTTTTACCTTTCTGTACCAGTCATTGGGTGTGGATCACCCTGGGAAAGAACATTGGCTGTGCTCTGTGGTGAAGTGGCTGTGTATACCTGAGGCAATCCCTGAGACACAACACTGGGGTGGGGAGATTTTTCCTTCCCTTCATTAAATAATACCTGGCATATTTATAATTAATTATTTACATCTGTATATATCTACACACTAATAAGTTCCATGAGAACAGAAATTTTTTTCCTAACTTCGCTGCCATTTCTCCAGTTGCTAATATATTATTGTGTGATAAGTACTTTATAAACGTTTGTTAGGTAAATAGTAGAATTTGATTTTTTCAACTATAACTTTAGAGCTTTGGCTGTGTGTCTGAAACAGACTGGAGAAGCTAGTAAGTTGGTCTTAGTCTGGAAAGTTCACATACACTGTGTTGCCTCTGAGTTATCGTGGCCAGATTTACTAAATTTATTTTTAATATTCTGTTTTCTAAATAAATTGTGTGTGTGTGTGTGCGTATGTGCATGCAGGCACTTGTAACACATATTTGCAGTTAAGTTCCATAGCAAGTGGATGTGTTAAATCTTTTGTCCTCCCTAAAGGAAAGGATTTTCTATTGCTCTCTCATCCTTCTCTCTCTGCCACTTCTACTGAAGTTAATTTTATGATTGACTTTCTGTGCTATCTTCCTCCATCTTTTCTAAGTTATGGTCTTGTATACCTGTTTTTTTTTTTTTTTAGATTAGTGGGCTACAGTGGTAC